GGAAGAGAGGGACCCCGAAAGGCAATGGACAGGGACGAGGGTCCCCCAGCCCAGGGGCAGGCACCCTCCACTAATCCCCCCTCAGCTGTCAGAGCAGCTCAGGGTTATGGCTCTCACTCCCTATTCGGTCAGAGCCACAAGAGCCTGGGCACCAGTGCTGTCCCCACCAGCCCCCTCCCGCCCCGAGGGCACAGGCACAGACCCCCCAGCCTCCCGCCTGCTCATGCACGGCCAAGTGCATTCCCCCTGCTGTGCCCCTCTCCCCCACATTGCCCTGGGCTTGTTGCACAGCACTCATGCCACAGCTCCACCATCTCAAGCAACACCACCTGTGTTTTCCTTCTCTCCCCTCCTCACGCCACCTCTGCCCCCGGGGCCAGAGCCCCCTGTGCCTGCTCAGCAAATGCTTTTCCATCATGCAGTCTTCCCCTTCCTTCCCTCCCGCCATTGCCTCCGGGGAGCCATGAGAGGAGAGGCCCAGGCAGAGGAAAATGAATGGGGCTGTCTTCAGAAAGCAGCTGCAAATTCCTGGGGGATGCCCAGCCCGACCCGGCGCAGGGTCACTGCCCGCAAGTGCCTCGTGCTGAGGCCCGGCTTCTCCCACATGCTGCCGCAAAGCCGAGGGCTGCCCTTGCCGGCAGCACCAACGGAGGGCCACGGGGCAACGAGTCTCCCACAGCATCCCCGGAACACAGGCATCCCGCACTCCTCTCATCCTTGGCCACAGGGGATACACTGGAATGGGTGGAGTCCCCTTTGCTGCACCCCTCACTTATTTTTTTGTTTTATTTTTTAAATGTCACATCTATCCAGGTCAGACTTGCTGCTGTGCTCACTGCACTGATTTTCCAGGCACACAGCTGAATGCTGGGAGTTGCACAGCTTTCACCAACTCTGCCCGCTGGCTTTGCTCCAGCCTCACACTTCAGCTGCCCTGTGAGCTCCACCAAGGGCTCTCGACCTTCCGAGCCTTTTGCTGCTGCAGGACTCGCCCACAGCACCATGTTCGTGTCCCTGGTGGATTTATCCGGCCCCACCAGAGCCCTCTGCAGCCATACCTCTTTCATATAGCACCTCCAATCAGGAGAGGGGCTGCAGTAGGGCTTTTGGCATGATGGCAAATTTGCCACCTGGAAGCAGGCAAAGAAAATACCTTTCTCTTCCTTGCAGCTCTCAGTCACATGAAGACTTAGGGCCTGGCTTGGAAAACCAGGAATACGTCTGTCTCATCCATTCAAGCCGTCCCGGACTCCAGCCTGTCACTGTTGGGCTGAAGGGCTGCCTCGGGGCCAGGCAGGGCTGATCTTGCGTAGCCCGGCCAGGCCAGCAGTGATCAGCAGGTATCTATCTGCACCGATGTGCCACAGGCCGCCAAGGTTGAACGTGGGATCACAGAGCACCAGGTCAGCTCTAAGTGGACTCAAAAGCGCCCAAGTAATGCCTGAAGTGCTCCTCCTTTTGTTGCTTTAAAAAAAAATCTTCCCCTTTCTGCAAATCCCTCCTCCCTCCACCCCTCGGCTATACAATAGCTATTTTATCTCTGCTGGAGGAATTAAATGCTAGTTTCAACCAGCCCTCTGAGACAGGGAGAGCAGAGACAGACTTGGCATCACTGTGACACAGACGTGAGAAGGGGGTATCGGTCCCAAGGCTATGCTGTGGCTGGCAGCACGGGAGACGGAAGTATTTTCC